TCATTTATTATTTCTTTTAAACTTATATATATACTTAAATTATTGTTTTGATATTAATTAAATTTTAGGTTTTAATCATTTTTATAGCGAGTTCTTGTTTGGTGAATGTAAGAATAACCATAAAAATAATCTAATTTCACTAAAAAAATTACTTTACTTTGTTAAGAAGAGAAAGAAGAAAACTTAGGGATCGTTTACTAAACTCTTATTTGATAAGTGCTTGTCGGATAAAATTTTTCATTCGATAAAACATAACAAGAGTCAAAAATCTTAACGGATAAGAGCGATGAGAAGGATGGAAAGTCTTAGCCGGTAAATTGTTGCATTGGATACATTTTGATGTACTAAAAAATCTTATGCATCAAAATGAATTAGAGTGTTGACTCCTACAGATAAACATTTACCGGATAAGCATTTGATTAAATAGCCAATTGATATCATATGTCAAATCCTGTTAAAATCAAGCTACATGTAGATGAAATGACCATCATTTTTTTTTCAAAAAATGAGCAAAGCAAAAACTGGCCAAAAGTTAAGATATTTGGGTTGCCAAACTTTCAATTAAAGTATTTAATTTATTAAGCATAAATGGTAATGTTTTATAGCATGAGGCACCGTGACCACCACGAGTTACTCGTAAGACCGCATATGCATATATTAAAGAGTTAACATTCACATATTATACTCGAATCCTAAACATTACCCTGAAAATTAAACTTTTACCAAGTATGTATATATATATATATATATATATATATATTTATAAAACAGAAAAAGTAATTATTTTTGAGTTGTTACGGATCTGCCCTTGTTGTCTTTGTCCTAGAGACAAAATTAGAGAAAGTGGGACAGAAAAAGGAGGGGCAATATGTGGTAAAGTGGAGATGGTGCACTGTATATATTCCACTGTTGAGTTAGTGATCCTTATTTGGTTATTACAAGTTGCCTTACAATGACAAATATGTTTTGCAGGTTCCTGATCATGTTAATTTCCCTCTCTAAGTTTATATTTTACTAACACCTCATGTTTGATATGCATGGTTCATTAATTTTTTAGGACTGATTGCTAGTTGTATACATAAGACCTAACGAGTAACGAATCCCAACCAAAAAAGAGTTCAAATGTTCACGATGAAATTAACGAGAAATCAAATGTTTGGATTGATGGGAATTGTCGAACCTGCACGTGATCATCTTAGCATAAAACGGTCAAATCTGTCGAGTTCTTGGCATTAGTGCCAAAAAATTGTTGGTTGGGTGTCGCATCTGAAAATAATAAAGTAGTCTTAGAGAACCAGATTAACCATGTATGCGTAGCGTATGAAAACTTATATAGAGAACTTCCATATTTTTCTACGTTGAGGATGTTTGGTTGTTTGTTATTTGCCTCAACCCTCCATCAATCCTCATACAAGGTTGCGACAAGTGTTGCATCATGTGTTTTTATTAGATACTATTCGGAAATAAAAGCTTACAAGCCTTATGATATACGTTCTAAATGTAAATTGTTCAAGAGATGTTATATTTCACAAAGATATCTTTCTATTTGAATGTACTTATCAATCTAAAACTTATTAGGGTTTTCCTTACAACGTGTTACATGTGGCAGCTAATGATTCATTTCCTGAGTAGGTAACCAATATTCCTTGTGAAAATCCTCCCAACAATGATCGATCTCCTAACAAACAGCTTGACGATAATCCTCATGAGTCCATTCGAAGATCCATTCATAATCACCAGCCCCCATCTTATCTACGAAATTGTCATTGTAAAAATGTCAGTGTTACATCTATTGCCTCTGAAACCGCTTACCCACTAGACATGTGTCTTGGGTATGACTCACTATCAGCTCAACATAGAACATTTGACATAGTAGTTCTAACATGATGCATTTCCTCATAAAAAATAACACATAATTTTATACAAAACAACCCATATTGAGGATGTGTATTGGGTCCCTTTCTCGAAAATTATATAAATGTCTAAATATTACAACAAACATTTTGCTAATAAAGTTCTCATACTAACGATCCACTTAGCATGAAGATCAAAAGCAAACTTCATATTTTCGACAGGCTTCACATGCGAAAATCCAAACAAATGATCTCACATTTTCCTTTTACCTTTACTTTCTAAATAGTGTTGTCCTAAAATGCATATTTTTTTAAAACAAAATGAGGGTTAGACCATAAAGTCTAGTGAAGAAATCCCTATCAGTGCAATAATATAGTAAAACTAGTTAATGGGAAACCTTTAAATCAGTTAGTATGAAGTACGATCTCAGGCATTAGGTCCATCCCAGGCAACTAGCCACATTAGTTGCTTTTCTAAAACAAAGATCACCCCGATAAGATCGCAATCAATATTGGCAGTAGCCTACCACACAAAACATATTCGTAGGATAAATTTTATATATCCCCCTTGCGTGGACCATCACAGTCACAACGCACACAACCTCCTGTTATGTAAGTCCCTTTAACCCAAGTAACAACATCAAATCACGTGTTAATTTCCCACATATATCAATAAGGTATTATATCAAAGTAATAATCATTTGATAACATATGCATTTTAGTTCGAAAAAGTTACAAGAAAACTCACATTGGTCACGATAATACTCTAAATTCTTATTTGATAATGAATCCCGATACTAAACACTTGAAACTCAATAAAATAAGCATATACAACAATCAAGAGAGATTGACTCAATCTTATCTCTAAACAAACTCTAAGGAACATAAATGATGCCCTGAAAGACTCCAAAACAATACTAGAAAAAATAAAAATAACCATACCATAGTGGCTTATGCGACTTGCCACACGACTAGAGTTGTGGTAGAAGTTGCACAAGTCACTAGATGACCTTGATTCAACCTCCAAGACTCAGCTCAAGTCATAAATCATACATTCCACTAATTTACCTCAAATTCCAACTTTTGTGACACCAAAACTTATAAAATACCAATCGGGAATTAC